TCAGTTAAGCGTCTGCCTTCGGCTCAGATCAGGATCCCAGGGTCCTGGGACCAAGCCCCATCTCAGGCTCTCTGCTCAGTAGGAGCCTGCTTCTCCCTCTCCCTGCCACTCCCCTGCTTGTACCCTCTCTCTGTCAAATAAATAAATAAAATCTTAAAAAAAAAAGATTTTGTTTTTAAGTAATATCTATACCCAACCTGGGGCTTGAACTCACATCCCCAAGATCAAGTGTCACATGCTCTACCAACTGAGCCAGCCAGGGGCCCCAAAGTGAGGACATTTTGAATAAGTTAAGGCTAAAACTGCTATATGTCATTATCTGTAGTGTGGGAGTGAGATTGGGGAACATAATGGGAATAAGTTTGTGAGGCTGGAGTGAAGGAGTACCCAGTTAACTTGGAGATAAAGTAGGCCAGGTCAATGGGGCAGTGAGAGGGCATAGAAGAAGGGGGAAGGAGTCATGAGGGTATTCTCCATTCTAAATCAGCAAGGTCAATTAACACAATAAAAACTAAACTCTCTCACTAACCTCAGCTGTCAGGACTCCAATCAGGAGTTTTGGTCATGGCTTCTGCTCTTGAAGGTTAAGTACAAAAATGTGCTATTAAGACACCACACGGGATCCATGTCTACTATTTATTATCTCATTCGTCATTTTCCAAATAGGTTATTTTTGCTCCACACTGGGACAAGTATTCTTGTGATCACGAAATAAGAAAATGTTAGCCAAAATATTTTAAATCTCTTAAGCCTGTGGATTTGCGCATTAATTAATTTTTCCTATTAAAGTTAATGCGGTGAGCCAAAGGCAGGTTATTTCAGCCCAGTGCTCAGTGTTTATCTCTGCAGGTCACAAAGTCCCCCCCATCCCCCGCAAATGATCTGGACTTGCAGTTTAAACACTTTTCTCCTCCTTTTAATGACATTATCCCATGCTCAGTGTAACCACTGAAGAATGCTAGGTTAAGGGCAGCAGGCTTACCCAAAGCTGAGGGTATTAGTAAGCACCATTAATAAGCACTAACAGAAATTAAATGGGCTGTGGGAGACTTGGTCACAGTGTCTACCCCTGACTTTACATTTTGTACATTGAGGAAGAGGCATCAGAAATACCGTAGCAGGATTTATTAGGTGACATAAAGAACATGGCAAACAAGTTTTCATATTTGATCCTGATTACAAGACACACTGGTGAGGCTCATTAAGAATGAATATAAAGGTCAACCTCTTCTGACTATTTGTGTTAGAGCAGCTCAATCTATAGAAAGGAAGTGGAATTTTCCTAAAGATATGATTAATGTGATGCCAGGTTCCTTTTAAGCCCTTTTACAGAGTCCTCTTTTCTTTAAACTAAAGAGACGGCTCAATACTTTTCAGGGTTTTTTTTTTTTTTTTTTGGTACTGAAAATAACAATTTCTGTGACCTGATCATCCTATATGCATAACTCTTTGTGCCTTACATTTGTTTGAATTGCATCCCATTGACTTTAAACACTAAGGTCAGAGCACTTCTGGAATGGAAACATGAGGATCTCCCCATATATTCTCCCCAGTGAAACAACCAGAACTGGTGACAATTATAAATAAAAAATGACCATTGGATCAGACCATGGAGCCGTTTATGGCCCAGGGCATTGTGAGAAGCATGGGGCAATCATTTGCCAATTAGTGGAGGCTAACAGCTAGGAGTAATATTAATAGAGGCAAACCAGCCAAAAGCTGGATGGGGAGATAAGGAAGAGTCAGAGAACCTGACTGAAACCACTGTCATCCCCCTGGGGAGAGAGAAGGAGTCAGGGTGTCAGCGCGCATGCCAAAGCACTGGGGAGACATCAGAGCCTGCACACTGTGGGGGAAAGAAACTTCCTGAATTAGTCTGGCCAAGTCACTCAACAAATAAAGAAGCGAACAATGACAACAAACCTCGGAACCAGTCTGGATCAGTCTCCAGAGTTGCTACAGTGGAAATGTACAGCTTGCAACAAAAAAATAGTGAGACATACAAACAGGCAACTGAGACCCATGCACACAGAAACTGCCCTTGAGAGGATGCAGATGTTGGACTCAGCAGACAAAGACTTCAGAACGGCTATCATAATTATGTTCAAAGAGCTAAAGGAAACAATGCTTATAAGTACAGATTCGAAATTCCTCAACAAAATACTAGCAAACTGAATGGAGCAACGTATAAAAAGGATGATATGTCATAACCAGTTGGGATTTGTCCTAGGAACGAAAGGTTGGCCTACATCCAAAATCAGTTAATGTGACATACCATATCAATAGGATAAAGGACAAAACCACAGGATTATCTCAATACGTAGAGAAAAGGCACTAAACAAACCCCAACACTCTTTCAAAATAAAAATAATCTGGCGCCTGGCTGGCTCAGTCGGTAGAGCGCGTGACTCTTGATCTCCGTGTCTTGAGTTCAAACCCCATGTTGGGCATAGAGCTTACTTTAAAAACAAAGAAAGAAAGTCAACGAACTAGGAATAGAAGTTCCTCAACCTGACAAAGGACATCTGCAAAAAAAAAAAAAAAAAATCTAGACTAATCACATCTGGTGGCATAAGACTGAAAACTAGCCACATGAGATTAAGAGCAAGACAAAAATGTTCACACTCTCCTCTTTATCCAACAAAGTACTAGAAATTCTAGATAATGCATTCAGGCAAGAAAAAGAAATAGAAGGCATCCAAACTGGAAAGAGGTAAATCAATTTGTATTCTAAAATGGCATAATCTGGTGTATAGGAAATTCCAAGGGATCCACCAAAACACTATTAGAACTAATAAATGAGTTCAGCAAGCTCGTAGGATACAAGATGTGTGCAAAATTAATTTTCTATACACTGGCAATGAATAATCAAAAAATGAAATTAGGATGGGAACGTAAATTGACACAGCCACTATGGAAAACAGAATGGAGGTTCCTAAAAAAATTAAAAATTAAAAAGAGAACTATGATAAGATGCAGCAATCTCAGTTCTGGTTATTTAGCTAAAGAAAACAAAAACACTACCTTGAAAAGATATCTGCACCCCCATGAAGCATTATTTACAATAGCCAAGACATGGAAACACATATTTACTATTTATAGATTCTTATTGATGACAAAAGTAAGCAATAAGCCTCCTCTGAAAATAGTAATTACCTTCAGAGCATGCTGAGGCCAATGATGAAGGATTTTTCAAACTGTTAAGGATCCAAAATAAAAACCTTTTCACGCCATACCTTCTTAAATTATCATTTCCCATATAACGTAAATTTCCTTTTCTAGAGGGCACCTGGGTGACTCAGTTGGTTAAGCAACTGCCTTCTGCTCAGGTCATGATCCCGGGGTCCTCTGATGGAGTCCCACATCCGGCACGCTGCTCAGCTGGGAGCCTGCTTCTCCCTTTCCCTCCGCCTACCACTCCCCCTGCTTGTGCTCTCTCTCATTGTCAAATAAATAAATCAAATCTTTAAAAAAATTTTTTCCTTTTTTAGAGCATTATATAATCTTTCAAATGTCACAGCATACTAAATTTTCTATTAATCCAATTAAAATTTCGCAATCTCACTTCAGAAATAGTTTATATTTCATAGCTAATTGATTCATATTTAACGTGTTGATGCGGTCCTCAATTCCCAATACTCTGATACCAAGTCTTTCAACAGGAATTTTTATTAAGAGTTTATAATCCAGGGGCATCTGGGTGGCTCAGTCGGTTAAGGGTCTGCCTTCAGGTCCTAGGGACCTAGGATCCAACCCCTCCTCCCACAACTCCCTGCTGCTGAGTGGAGAGCCTGCTTCTCCCTCTCCCTCTGCTGCTTCTCCTGCTTGTGCTGCTCTCTCTGTCAAATAAATACATAAAATCTTTTTTAAAAAGTGTTTATAATCCAAGTTTGTAGCAGTTGAAGGACATCATGTCAGACTGTCAGACATAACTGAGGAGTCAATCCTCCAACCCTATTTTATCATAGTAGAGAAAGTTATTTCCTTGATTATTCCAGCCTTTTTAGCATGTGTTGGTGCCAGGACTGATGCAGGAGCTGGATTCCTGCTACCTGTAATTGCAGTATGTGACAGAGCCAAGAGCAGTGGAAGGTCAGAGACTAGGCTACAAGGTCGGATCCTTTCTACTGTAATCTTTGGCAAGGCAGTGCAAAAAAAAAAAATTTAAAAAAATGCTGATGGATGGATTGGATAAATACTGTGCACCTGTGTCATGCGATGGCACTATACAAGGGCCTAGGTATGGGGGCTGCAAAGAAAGAAATGTCGGTCTTTCATCATACCTTCTAGTTGAGTTTCCTCCTTTATTACGTTCATTATTACATTTGTTACATATGTTATTAAATTCTTTCCATAAAAGAGCTTGTGCTGAGCCGGTAATCAGTCTTGTTTCCCAAAAAGGCACTATATAATTGCGATGATTTATGCAATTGGAAGGGAGAATTCATCAGGCAACAAACTGTAGATCGTGACGAAGCCCAATCATTTCCAGTGACCTCAGATGCCCAAGCTACAATCAGGATTTCCAAGCCGAACACTCCCGGCGGCGTGCAAGCTGGAGACAAACTCACTCGGCTAGAAGGGGAGGATGGTTTCCTACGTAAAGAACCTCCAGTCCCAGAATCCCATCGGGACTCCAAATCCCAGAAAGCCCGCAGGGCAAATCTATCCCAGTCCCTGGTCGGCTGACCGCAGACGCGACCAAGTTAGGAAACCGGGGTGAGAAGCCTCAGCCTTTGTCCCCTAATGTTTTCCCTGCAGGAAGGGGGCTGTTTAGGGAGAACTTTGGCATTCTCTCGTCACAGCTTCCAGGAAAGCCTCCCTCCCGGCCTATTTGATGTGAGAGTCAGCGTCTCCCATCCTCTCTCCCCCTTTTCCTAGCCCCCGTAAGAATGGTTCAGCCGGGCGGTGAGGCTCCTCGAGGTGGATCGATGGTTGCGCCCGCCCTCCCCCGGAATGTGGGCCTTTGGAGCTAGCGAGGTGGGAGGGACCGAAGCGGGGAGGCGTGCTGGGCCCGGGCGGCGGGAGGAGCCGTGCGGTTCCGGCTGCCCCGGCGAGGCGACCCTTGGGTCTGCGCCGCGGGCTGAGTGGACAGGTAAGCAGGCGGCAGCCGCGGCTCTGGAAGAGGCTCGGGCAGCGGAGACCCCCCACGGCGCCCGGCGCGCCCCCCGCACCCTCTGCCTCCGGCGTTAAGGCGGGGGAGTAAGGAGATGCCGACTCAGAGGGACAGCAGTACCATGTCTCACCCGATCGCAGGCGGCGGCAGCGGGGACCATTCTCACCAGGTCCGGGTGAAAGCCTACTATCGCGGGTGAGTGTCTCAGAGTAGGGGTGGGGGTGGGAGGGGAGGGGAAAGGCCCGCTCGACTAGGACTGGAGGAGGGGAGGGTGAGGGGCTGGAGATGTGGGCGAATTGGTCCGGGCGGGCGACTCTAGGGACTCGGGATCGGTCGGGGTGGTCGGGGGAGGAGCATGGGGCGCTACGTTGGGGCAGCCCAAGGTGTGTTGCAGGGCGCCCGGGAGTCGCGCGGCTGATGGTCCAGCCTAGGGTCCGAGGGAGGAGTCTTGGAATAGAGCAGGTCCACCTGGTGGGTTCGTGAGAGACTCGCCTACTAAGAGATTTAGAAGGGCTTTACGTCATTAAGTCTGGATGTGTTTGGGGTTGAGAGTTGACTCCGAGTGATGCCTCAGTGAACTAAGTTTGCTATGGGCTTAAAAGACAGTACTACTTTAGTTTGCTGGCTCTTTTGATTACCAGAAGGCCTAAAGCCTCTGGTTCTCTTAAGTCAGGTTTACCTTCCTCGCCTAGAAGAGTTCACAAAGTGTATCCGGACTATGGTCAGGCTGCCTGTGTATTAGACATAGGAGTTATTATTTAAGAGTAAAGTTGAACCGTTTTTAGGGATGTGCATTAGGTGCTTATGTCTCGCCAAGATTAGGTTGTATATGTGTAAATTAAAAATTTGTGAATGCTGCTTTGTCAGTGTTGCTTCAAGGACCATTTGATGGGGGGAAACACTGCAGGGAGAGAAGAGGACGAACGGAGGCATAGTTCTAAAATCTGTGATCTTTACTCATATTGTTATCCAAGTTATAACTCCTGAGCTTACCAGGAATAATCCAGTCCTGATATTGTGTGGTATTAGATCATGTTCTATAATCAGTGACCTGAAATATCCCCCTTCCCTTGAATTCAGTTGTGGTTTGAAATATGGGATAATTACATTTAGTAGAATTAGAAAGGTGAAATGTTAGTGTGAACATGAAGATTTGAAGCTAAGGGTTAACTGAAAACCCAGTGGCTTTGGCCTGTCTTACTATTTGTCCAAGCAGAAGTAAGTTGCTTAAAAAAAAAAAAAAAAACTCAAGCACTAGGAGGTTGAAACTGCGTTGCATACTTTTACATTCCTGAGGGGATCAGGGAAGATAGCAAACTTTCAAAACGCCTCTCTTGTTTTGATTTCAAAGGAAATAGAAGGCCTAAAATGTGTTATCGGTTTATGTAATGACTTACTAGTTCGCTTGCTGCCGTGTAGCCTCTGACCTCTTGTTAGCTTGACTGTATTCAGCAGTAGTTTACAAGAATTATTTTGGACAGTGTCAGTGTTTTTGCTTAAATTGATCAAGGAGCTCTTCATTTTAAAACAATACCAAGAAGTGTGTGTATGTTTTTTAAAAGTTTGTAGCAGTCACAAGAACTGTTTTGACTTGAATATGGTCAGCTATGAACTTTGGACTGTGGCGGAAAGAAGCTTTGCTTCCTTTACCTTAACCTTTAATTTGATAGATGAGATATTTCACTTTCTTTTTTGTTTTAAGAATATTGATTGGCCATACAGGCTTTTTTTTTTTAAATAAGGTTTTATTTATTTGACAGAGAGAGAGCACAAGCAGGGCCAACAGCAGAGGGAGAGGGGAAAGCCGGCTCCCCACTGAGCTGGGAGTGGACTTGGGGCTCAATCCCAGGACCCTGGGACCATGACCTGAGCCCAAGGCAGACACTTAACCGACTGAGCCACCCAAGAGCGCCTCACTTTCCATTTTATAAAGTTGACAGTCCATGAGTTATTAGGCCCAGAGAATGAAATATATAGTGGGTGTTTTTTTTTTTTTTTAAGGTGTCTCATTATTGACAATTAAAAAAACTGGATTAAATGAATATACTCACACGGTAGGAATGTGCAAATTGTACAGAGGTATAAAAAAAAGTGCCTTCCATCCCATCGTCCCAACTTCCAGAGGGATCCTGTTGACAGTTTTTCTGTTCTTCTGGAGGTTGCCTTTATTTAAAAGTTGTACTTCTGTTTCATGATTCAACTTTAGATAGTACCTATTAATCCCATCATCTCAAAGATGAGAAATTGGGTGAATACTACCTTTTGCTTGCTCTTCTCCTGGTTGGTGCGTCTCAATTTTTGATAATTAAACTATTATTTTCAGTTCTCTGGTTTACATTTATGACTTTAAACAATGTAAATTCTTGTCTTATTAAATTTAGATAGTTTGCAATGATTTTAACTACGAAGAGGAAGAAATTTAGTTTCCCCCCATTTTTACTGGTTTGATAAATGTAAATAGGCCTAGTTAGTAAATTAAAATTATTATAAACTTCTCCTTTGGAAAGAAATCAGTCTGTTATATTTTAGTAACGTAGGTGTCATATTGTTTTGGCTTATTGCTACAATTATTTTTATAAAAGAGAATAAAAAAGGACATACAACCCTTTTAGTGCCTGACTAAAATTTCTCCAAGACATTCAAATTAACATTTTGCTTTTTAAAATCAATGAATTTTTGCTAAAGAGTGAAACAATCAAACCCTTGCCCTTTATTGCTTTTTATTCATTGAAAGCTTTCTAACAGTGCCTTCATTTCAAGCCTCATTTAAAGACAACATCAGCACTCTCTAAATTGTACCAATTTCTTTCCCCTGAAATTAGATCTGTTAAGATTATATGTTTATTAACAATAGTCTAACCTGGTGGTTTTGATATTACATAGTCAGCTGCTCATTACTACAGATGAAACTAAAATGAGTCACCAGTGAGGATAGCTAATAAACAGGTTGGCTAACTAGAACACCTACCTGATTTTAAAATAGAAAATCCTTCCTTTATATCAAGAAATGTAAGGACAACGTGCATTTGAAAAAAGTTTCTTTTCTTTCAGATCTTATGAAAGGTCATTATCAGAAAGTTTTCTCCTTATCCCCTTCTAACAGGATTTCTTTCCAGTGAACATTGAATCTTGGAACAGCCAGAATTTTTTAAGATTAATTTATTTATTTATTTGAGAGAATGGAAGAGTGAGAGGGAGAAGTCGACTCCCTGCTGAGCAGAGAGCCCGATATGGGACTCGATCCCAGGACTCTGGGGTCATGACCTGAGCCAAAGGCAGACGCTTAACCAACTGAGCCACCCAGGTGCCCATAGCCAGAATTTTTTAGTGAATAAATTGTCTTCTTTCAAAGATGTGTATAGTGTTCTCTCATTCAGTTAAATTTGTTCTTAGTGCAAATGTGATGTCCCTCTAGATATAACAGAGATTTAATTAGATTTTTTTCTAGTTTTTAAGCAGGAGATTAATAACATTGAGAATCTGACTGTATTGGGGTGCCAGTTGGTTGTCTGACTCTTGATTTTGGCTCAGGTCATGATCTTGGGGTGGTGAGATCGAGCCCAGTGTGGGGCTCCATGCTCGGTGGGGAGTCTGCTTGATATTCTCTTTCCCTGTCCCTCTGCCCCTCCCCCCAGCACGTACTTGAACTTTCTCTCTAAAATAAATAAATAATCTTAAAAAAAATAAAAAAGAATCTGACTGTATCACGGCCTATACACCCTTCTTTCCTTGACATGGGAGCTTGTCCGTGAGTGGCCTTTCTTCTTCAATCATTACCTAGTAGTGTTAGGAGGAAGAGAAACAGGTTTTGTTAGTTAGTGATAAATTGCTATTGTATGTGCTTTTCCTTATATTAAAGTTACTTGATATTATGGGATAGAGTTTAACAAGGAAATGTCTGGACTACTTATTTCATTGTACATTATAAATGTATGGGAAATTTTGTAAAAAGTTAGTAAAAATGCTTTTTACACCACTGCCATTGAACGGTTATAACAATCTAGAGGATTCTTTCTGTGCACATCCGCAAACAGGAGGAGATTAACTCCTTGTATATTTGGATTGTATAGCTGGTTCAGTGAAGAAGTATGCAGGATTTTTCTGTGAACAAGTCCTGGCAAGACTTGTTTTTAAAAGTATTACAAAATAATTTCAGCAATATAAAGCATATCTCTATAATGTTCTAAGGAAATACAAATAGTATATTGAGTTGGGAGTTGAGAGAATGTTAATTATTGGTCCTGGAGCTTCTGGCATGGTACCTAACCACAGGACAACTGATCATAGCTTTATCAGAGAAAGAGAAAGGAGTTGGTGGCCTGGTTCCAAAAACCAAAACAGCTCTCTCAGAAATTTGAATCAGATAATATGGAGATAAATTGCTTGTTAGCAGTGAAGACTGGAGCTGAAGAGTTAAGGGAGAGGCTAGTGAGGCCAAGACCAACCATGTGCAAACGTCAGGTCTGAGAAAGCAGAGGAGAAGGAAGCAGCTTTCTGCACAAAAAATTCTTCCTGGAGATCCATAATAGCTTTCTAATACAACTCCCAACCCTCTTGTTAAGGTAACTTGAGTGTTTGGGTTTTTTTTTTTTTTATGGTTGAAATGAGCATAATTAAAACCTGAATTTTTAAAATTCCAGTCTTGCTTAGGATTCCACATATTACCTAAAGTGTGTTTAAACTCACTTTAATAAATATTGTTGAATACCTACTGCCTACTCTAAGGTAGGCGCATGGTGCTAGGGTGGACACAGAGGGTGTAGAGGTGAATAAGCTAAGGCTCTGCCCTCAAGGGACTGAGAAACTTCTAGGAGGAAAGACATAGAAGAGTTAATAAAGGAGTGTGTATGTGTTTATGTGTAAGGTGCTTGCAGGGATGGATACTGGGGTGGTGTTTGGGGTTTGGGAAACCTTACTAGAGGATGAAATGTTTGTGGCTTTTAAAGGATAAATAGGTTTGCCTGGGGTTGATGAAGATGTTGGGTGGGGGTCATTCCAGGCATTGCACAACTGCGTGGTATGTTTGGGGAATTCAGATCAGTTTAGTTGTTAGTCCCATAGTCATTCCTTATTAGGACATAAAGTTTGAAGTGGGCACTGATAAGAAGTGAGACTAAGAAGAAGGCTCACAAGCACTACTCATGAAGATTCTCGAATATCATACTTTGGGTTCAGACTTTTTTTCATCGGTGAGG